ATTTGTTGTAACAGATCAGACTGAAACATCTGCAGGGCATGGGCACCTGTGTGAAGTCGGGAAATGCAGTTTTTATAATTTGTCTTCTCTGAAGAAAAAGAAGGGGGGGAAGAAATCTGGAGAGAAGGAAGGGAGAGATGAATAGCTGAAGATTTGGGCACATCTAAAGATTTATCTTTTTTTTCCTTTCTTCCCGAGCAGTTACACAAACCTTTTGGAGAGGTGGGGGGGGGGGGGGGGGGGGGGGAAAGTGAAGCAGCGAATGAAGTCTTGCCATGTGCAGGGTTAAATGGAAACACACAATCAGACCATAACTCAGGGTGTAATTCAAGCCATACGGTTTGTCTGTCTGTTGACTCAAAAGGTTGTATCAAGGCTTGGCGAGGGAGGGGGCTGAGAGGGGATAATCCAAACTTTTTCGTGATTCATAAACCACTCCTTTGCAATTTGGATAATAGATCTCTCTCGCGCGACGACTCGCTAAGCTTCGGAGTTAACTGTAGCCCGTGCTTTCTCTCTCTCCTTTCAGGTTGTTCATCTCTAAGGAGGAGCAACACCCAAACTGCAGGGAAATACGTCGTGCGGAAAATTAGGAAGACTCCTTTTTTTCTTGGGAGAAGCTGATTTCCTTCGGCAAGTGGGGGACGGTGGAGAAAATGAAGCCGAGCCCACGGTTTTTCTTAGCTGGTTTTCTGTCTTTGATTCTGCAGACGGGGATTTGCCATGGGATAAAATGGATGTAAGTACCTGGCTATCTCTATGCATTTTTAAAGTCTTTGTAGGCATTGCTGGTCTGTTACCCATTTTTGCAACTGCAATATGAAGCACACTGTAAAGCCATTTAAAGAGCAGCAAACGCTGCGTTTCTCCAGGCATTCATTGATTTCAAGTGTGTGTACTAGGGGCTTGTGCTAACAATATGTCTCCATCTTCTTTCCAAAATATGCATGATTTAGGCTCGCTTTTTCTTCTCATTGATACCAAAGGAAAGGCACACACTTGAACGCTCACATGAGCCACTTAACGAAGTTTCTAGCGTTAGCTCCTGCCGCGCTGGGAAACTCTCCCACCGGGACCGCTGGTCGTGCTGAGTAGGAGCTGAGAGCGGTAGGGACGGCAGCTAAGATAATGCCACCAATCTCCAACCACAGGGAATGCTTGACAGATAACATGGGTTTTTTGTGGACCTTTTAACCTTCGGATTTCATGAAGGGTGTTAAAAATGCGGGGCGGGAGGAGGGTAAAGAAATACCAGGGAGTGTGGTCAAGTCTGGATTGAGTTTCCTCAGAGGTAATGTCACTGCAAACAAAGTGAAAACATCGCTATCCCATTTCTTTGCTTAAGCAAGCAATCAATTAGTTGCTTACTGCAAAATAAACAAACAAGCCCCTCCAACACCCATCTGGTTTCACGTCCTTGATGAGTGATCTGTCTTTTCTACTTGGGTTTGAAGCTGTGCACAAAATAAATAAAGGGATGTGGGCTGGCCTCAAATGAGCACCTTCTGTAAAAGAAAAAGCACAATTAAATGCAATGCCAGGAAGAGTCTGTTGTGTAGGGTACAGTGTGTCGGTGAGGATCTTGGGGTTAGGTGGGGAAATTGAGACCAGAGGTTCTTGTTTTGGTCTTCCTTCTGTGCTATGTCTAATTCCCATTCCACCGTCCCACTCATTGTCATTTGAGGTTTTCCCCATGCCACCTTTTATAAATGCTATCTTAAATTTGGACACCTTCAAGTTAGATGTCTTGTTGGAGCCAGTGTTTTCACTGCCCTGCATGCAGTCAGAGGAGAGAGGTGGGGATTCCAGGTGGGGATTCACCCTCTCCAAAGAGACATCCAACACAAATGTCAAGAGATGTCCTCTGGAGATGCCATGGATTGCAGGGAGATGGTTGAGACCACACATCCAGCTTTTATACGTGTAAAGAGAAGCAGGGTGAATCCCTCCACAAGGTGTTTAAATGCATATGGTCAGGCAGGAGGAATAGCCACCTATTTTAGGGCATTGAAATGTGCTGTCTCCGTATTCTAAGGACCACCTTGGAAGTAGAGGAGAGTCAGGATCTGATCTGCTCTTCACCATCTTGGCTTTACACCTTGTAGCAGCCACCACAGCTAAATTACATAGCCCAGCTAGTTCTTTCTGCCAGCATCCTTGAGTATTTAGGCTCTCAGCTCTGCATATATCCAGCACCTTGCACAAAGGTGGGCACCTCCTCTCTGCAGGACATCTAGCAACATGCCCATGGGCTGGCAGAGCCTGGACTCAGTTGCAACCTTCATTTCTATGCAGCACAGAAATAAAGCTGTTCTGTGGCACCCTGATTCAGCAGGGCACTTATGTACAGACCCATAACTGAGTGGAGGGGCTTGCTTATATGCTTGGCATTAGGGTCCTGCTTAAGCAAGGTGCTAAATGCAGAGCAAAAGGCCTGGGTTCCTCTGAAGGGCAGGGGCGAGGTGAGCTTCAGAAGGAACCTGTTAGCACATTGACAAGCCGTAGACATGAAAAAAGGCTGGAAGGCAGGGCAAGGTCCCTAATAGCTTTGCTGGCAAAAGCAGCCTCTTGGCCGGTAAGTGGTTAAGCTGCAAGGGTTGCTTTTGGGGATGGGGTAGGAGGGAGGTAGTTGGAGGAAAGACGTTGCCGCTCCTCCCCTTCTCAGCAGACATATCATCCCCTATCGAAGAGTGAGTGGGGAAGATGAAAGCTGGGATTAAAGTGGCATTTGAAGCATGAACTGCATCCAGATGCGCCGGCGGGGCTCCCCTCACACCTGTTTAAAACCTGGCGGAGACCTGCACTCCCTGTCCCAGGGCACTTTGCACAACTGGGATGTTGCCAGCTGGGATTTCACAAAATTATGGTGGTTTTTTCTTTCATTTGCAGTTTCTCCTCCTTTCCCCACCCTTGTTTTCCTATGGAAACGTGGGCCAATTTCCCCCCACCCCTCCCCATCGCTCTCTTTCCCCCACTGCAGCAGTGCTGCCATCCTCGGGGCTAGGGGACCATCCCTGGAAATCCTGTGGGTAAACTCTTGGCAAATGAAGATCGATGCTACTGAATACCAAGTAATACCTCGGAGCTGCAATCCCAGCCCCGGGCTCATGTGCTGGGAGCTATACAACCAAAGCCTGCCTCTTCCTTCTCATGCTCGTGAACAGAGCGGGGGGGCAGAAAAAGGATGGGATGAAGAGGGAGGAAAGTACTACGAGATGTTTTTGGTCGTGGGCTTGTCTCAGCATTCTGCTCGCTGCACCGTTGTTGTAGGCACGGTGCCAGAGGCAAGCTTCAAAGAGGATTTGGGAGGGGAGGGGGAAGATAAGGAGGTGGGTTTTGCCAGCCTGGCAGGCTGGGTTTGCAAGCCTGAGGAAGAGGGAGCGACTGATATGAAAGGCGATAGGAAATTCAATTTTGATTCAGCGTGTGATGTAATTGCAAGGGGAGAGGGAGAAGAAAAACACACTTTTCAGCCATTTAGGACTTCCCTGTAACATGAATATCCCCTGTAAATTATTAAAAGAGGGGAGAAGGTAAAAGGGAGCTATTTGTTTTATTTTATTTGGCTTATTTTTACGAGTTCTGTGGTCCAGATCCCCAGCTGTTGTAGATCGGCACTGTGCCCTTCCCTGCCGCAGAGGTGTGGAACGTCGTGCATCCAGCATGGTGTATGGATGGTCAGCATCTTGTAAACCTGCTCTTGGTGCTGGAGAAACTTCATATTTTGACCTCTTCCATCTGAGCTCCAGGGAGATGCTCAGGTGTAAAGTGAGGGTATGGACAGATCTTTGCAGGATCAGGGCTGCCATGGAGATTCAATGCATATGAGATTCAGGGGCTCATTTTTGCACTCTGCTTTTTGCAAACACTTTCCCGTCATTAGAGCAGGTTTTTCTTTCTTTTTTTTTTTTTTTTTTTTTTTTTTTTTTTTTCTTTTTTTGTTCCTCGGTTTTTTTTTTTTTTCCCCACGCGGTTTTTTGTCAAACCCTTTCCCCCTCTTGAGAGGGGGTTTTTTTTTTTTTTTTTTTTTTTTTTTTTTTTTTTTTTGCATCGCTTTGTGGTCCTCAGTGCTTGTTTTGCATCACAGCAGCTGGGGAGGTGAGGCAGCCATCGGTTTCAGTGGGAGATGTCTTAGGGCCAGTGCATGTAGGAACTTTATCGTCTTACCCATCTCCTTTTGCACCCCCTTTAGCTTTCCTAGGAGGGCTTGGGTTTGGCCAAGCAGGTTGCTGAAGCAACTTGTTTGGGTAGAGCTGAAAAATAAATGAGCACTAGAGGGAGCTGCGGCCAGATGTGTGCGCGTCGCAGAGATCTGCAGATGTTGGGATATCCAGGCACAGAGTGGCTTTCAAGACACTTGTGCCTCCCTGCGCGTTGGCATCTCCTCTGCCCAGGCGCCAAGACACAGGTCTGTATACTGAGTGTCACCTTCAACACCAGAGTGGTTGTAAAGAAGCCAAAGGCAGCAAGTGGGTTTTTTGGGGTTTTTTTTTGTGTGTGGTTTGCAGGATCAGCCCATGACAGCAAGTGGTGACATTAGGAATGCCATGATTTTTAGGTGGACCTTCGTCACTTCTTTGGGAAGTCCCTGACTGTCCCTGTTGTGGTGGCCTGGACATGCCCCATGCCCTCTGGAGCCATCCCTAGCTGAGCACCATTCCCAGCTACAAGGTCAGCTTTGCTGCACAGTTCCCATGGTTAAATCACAGCCCTTCAGAAGCAAAAGGTGGCTCAGCTGTGCATTTCAGTGAACCCAGGATGTCCCCCAGCTCACCGACCTCGAGCAGCACCACAGCCTTTCTGCAGTCAGCAGAAAGCAGGGGAGAAAATGGAAAGATTTTGTGCTTCCTGGCAGCTCCTGCTTCTCTCCTTCAACTGGGGAGGGAGCTGGGACATCGGGGCATGGGCGCCTGCGAGGAGACCGTCTGCCTGGCAAGGGGGCTGCTAGATGAGCTGCTGTGAAAGGACTGCAGGACGGGGACGGTAGGAGGGGAGCGGGCTGGGAGTGAGGAAGGAGGGGGGACAACCGCTTTGAAGTTTGCTCTTCGCTCCGTAGGCAGCTTGGGAAAACTTGACAAAGCGCCACGGCCTTCCTCGGTGCTCGGTGAGCCAACTTGCCGCTGGCATCGACTTCAGTCAAGCTTGGGCTGGAAGTCAATGGCCTTGTGCCCACTACTGCCAGTGCTGGATTTGGCACCGTATCTGAAAGCAGCTCTTATTTTAAGCTTTTACTTCAGGGTTGGGGTTTTTTTCCCCCCACTCCTCTCCCTCTTCCTCCTCTTTATTTCTTTTTTTTTTTTACTATATAAATCCCACTTCTCTGTTTTGAAAAGGCTCTGCAGAATCACTGAAAGCATTCACCAGGGGATGTGGTGGCTTTCCCAGCGCTTGTGGTTCCCCAGGCCAGGACTGATGCAAGGCAGGGTGGCAGGGGCATGGGCTGCCTCTGACTATCATGAGCTTAGACAAGGTTATTGTAATAGTCCTGTGAGCCTCTTCCAGTTGAAAACCTGAGAAAAAGAGGCTCCTGCAGATAAAAAACCTTCAATGAGAACAAGTGAAAAAAAAAAAAAAAAACCCAATCACTGCCTCTCTTTATTAAATTTTACCACACACTTCATTCTCCACAGCCGTGTAATTTTGTCTAAATCTTTTTGTTTCACCCAAATCCCTGGAAGATTAAGGGGTTCAAGAATAGGCATAAAAATGAGAGTGTCTTCATGGAAAGCAAAGCAGAAAATTTGAAGCAGAAGTTCATGGTTTCACCAATAGCCCCTCTGTGAGACCTTCTTGGGTCACATCACACAAGGCACGATGGGGAGATGCCCTCCAGAGAGAGCCCTCATCAGAAAGAGAGGAGACCCTTACACCCTTTAAGGGTGTTTTAAAGGGCACCAATGCTGTACTGCTCAATTTAAGGAGTTTTTCTCCTTTGGGCTTGACCAGGAGCAGCATCCTATGCACAGCAGTCCTTGTAAACCAAATCATGTATGGCTTTCATTGATGTCTGCTCAGATATGAAGGTACTTCTCCCAAGCTGCTGCTCCTATGAATAGTCTTCTCATGGAGCCCAGACCTGCAGGAACGGTCCCATACCTCTCAAAGGACCTAACACTGTAGAGCATTCATGTTTTCAAATGAATTTATTAACTGCCTGAGATAATTAAAAGAGTAAACGAAAGTCATGATCCATCCATGCATCATATTTCCTCTGTAATTATGTTTATGGTTTTCTGTCAGTATCCATAACTTCAATTGAAAGCCCTGCTATGCTATATATAAAGCAGGAGATGTTTGGTTTGGGGCGTGTTTATTTAAAGGGATGGGTCAAATACGTATATTTAAAAAAAAAAAACAACCACCCCTCAGTTGTCCTCAGCTTTCTGGAGAATGAAAGATGGGGTAGGAGGGAGGAGAGCACAGTGTTAGCAGGAGGAAATGGTGAAAAGCAGCATTTATGGGATGGCAGCAGGTAAAATCCCCACATGCTGCTGCTTGGATGAAGGGTGCAAGTCCAAAGAAAGATGTTTATCAGCATTTTTTTACCAGATTGAGGACTAAAGGTTGTTCTTCCCTGAGGGCTGCTTTATTCAGTCTGCCTGTTTCCCCTCCCAGTGCTGGTGGTCAACAGAGACTGGGTGGAGATGGGATAGAGACCTACCACCAAATCCCACCATGGACAAGACTCTTCTGGGGGAAGAACAATGTCCTTTGCAGGCGGTGGGCATCCCTCCCTGGTGCTGCTAGAATCTGGGGAGCAGGTAGGGTTGGTGCGTTTCCACTGGGAGGGTTTGAAGCGACAAGGAATGGAGAAGACATTTCTGAATGTAGGACAGAGACTGAGCAAACCTGGGCTGTCAGAGCATGGACTAGATGACCTAATAGGCCTCTCACATTCCTGATCTGTGATTTATAAATGCACTTTTTGGTCTCGGCAAGTGACTCCAGTAACTGTGAGTTTTCTTTTCCATCTCCATTACCCTTTACTTTTTCCTCCTGACGCTTGGAGATGTTTCCAATTATAGGTTCTCACAAGCAAAGGCATGAAGTTCAGGCCTGGGAGATGTTCAGAAAACACCTTCCTGCGTCTTGCATTTTTATTCTTGGCGTGCTCCTTGGAGCTCAGCTCATTCAATGAGAAACAGCCACTGCTGCCATTTACTGAGTTCTCCCCAATGGGGCCATGGTCCTTCCTCTCTTGACTGTCTGGCAGATATTTTTCCCTCTTCCACAAAGCGAATTTCTTTCTTGCTGCATTATAAATCTGCTTCTCTAATGGTGATCATTTCAGGCCACCTGTAATAACATGATCTCGTTGTACCACATCCCCTTTTTTTCACAATGGGGATGAGTTTCAGTCTGAATTCAGCTCTCATCCCAACTTGTAGGTGGTTATTTCTGCTGTTCCTGACTTGTCTGTAATGATGAGATGCAGGTGCCTCAATGTAGGCTTCCAGGTCCTTTAGAGATGCTGAAGACCTCTATACAGGATTAGAAAATATGGTGCGGGACCTAGGAGATATATGCATCCTTTTGGAGGGCCAGGTGAAGCATCCCAAGGCCTTTAAAGTGTCACTTGGCACCTCTGATTAGAAAACCGAGCTGGTGCCCCATAGTACAGCATCTCTCAGAGACCTGGAACATTCCTCATTTGCCTGAAGCTCAGGCTGTGAAGCTCTCTCATTTCATCTGCCTCACTCTGCCTGCTTATTTTGCTGCTGGGACGTACTGTGCTGGAGTATTTATCATTTTTACTCTATTAATGACGAGCTGCTTTGGCCTCTTGCCTGATTTGCATTTCAGTCCATTCCTGAGAGTTGCTGATAGGCTTTCTGGGATAAATTTTCACAGGTTTCTGGTGCCAAGTACTAGGGGTTGGACTCATCTCACCCAGCTCTCTGCTTATACAGTTCAGATGTTTGTGTCCAAGCTCGGTGCCTGGGTTCCCTCTATAGCCAGAGCAGAAAATGAGCACTTCGAGGGCATGAGTCATCTTATCCTACTGTAGTTCTTAAAAGCACATCAGGCTAATTACTCCCTAGACGTGGCTTTTTCTTTCCATGGGCTGAAGAAGGACCCTGCAGGACTACCATGAGGTTCACACTGTAGAGGTTTGCAGTCAGGTGACATTCATACTGTCCCAAGACTCATGCCTCTGCCTTAAAGGATGTGATATATCTGAGATACATGAGCACCCAGAATATCACCAACAGGTTTTGTCTCCACCAGTTCAGGTCCAGCACACATCTAAGGCAGGATGAGTTGCCTTCTGGAGGTGCCTCTCTCCAGACAGGGAGCATTGCATGAGCAACAGTGTGCAAGGGACCATGATGAACTACAGGGCAGAATTTCTGATGATTAAGTACTCCACTTTTTCCTTTCCCTTGAAATTCACTGGCCAAACCTTCTGTTCGCTGTATATTTAATAGACCTCTTTAAATATATGTATGATGTATATATTTACATAGCTAGCAGAGTGGTGGTTTCCCTTCCAAGTTTGCCACTGATTATCTAGTGCCAGAAATGCCAAACTCCAGCCACCTGGGAATTTGTCAGTGCAGACCTACTCAGCCCTAGTAAGGACCGTAGCTTTTCCTGCTGGAAGAG